CTTCGATTTCATAATCGCGCAATAAAATCATCTGCGATTTTTTTTGCGTAACTTGTCAGTGAACTACGGCTATGTGTAGTACATTCTGCTCCATCTGAAAGCACGTGATGATGATTTCCTGCTGATAACAGAACCGGCATTACTATCAAAATGTGCATGACAATCGCATTCGATTAATCGTGCAGCCCTAATCTCTACTTTTAACAGTTTTCCCTGTAGTATGTGGGAGGAGAGTAAATAGGCAGAATGGAAATGCACTGGGACAGATCTAGTCTCAGATAAACTGACGTCCAAGAGTGAATGTGCGTCTACACAGCTGCATGTGTAAACATCTCACTGCAGGCTGCAGACCACCCTCGGCCCAAATCGGCACTCAGTCACACCTTATTGCCTCAATGCTACGCATATGCGCAGATACTGGCCCCACACACATACCTAATCAGCTACAACATATTTCGTCCTCTGAGCTGGATGGCTCCACTCAGAGGTCCAGAATCCCCACTGGCCCTTAGAACTGTGAACACCTCATTGATTATTTTCACTTTAGATTAAAAGCCATTAATTGCCTCCTCTCACCTGCTCTCCCTTCCCTCAGTCTTTCACTATTAGTACAGATGCCAGCTGTCTTAAATGGTCCAGACAAGTCTTAAAAATAATGGTTCTAATTAGAACCAAGAGGGTTTTACAGCTTGATTCCATAGCAGGACAAATACATTTAAACTGAACCTAGATTCAACTTAGAACCTTAGAATTCCAATTTGAAACATTTTACCAAGTTTTTACATGGTGCATAAATGTAACATCAATAACTTGTGTAATCTTTAAAGAAACTTACATCTACATTAGGAACCCTATGCAATTTAAAAAAGGGTTCATGGTTCTTTGCTGGATCTAAGGTGCTGAAAAAAATATTACAGTAACTTTAACAGTTTACAGAAATATTCCTATTTACTGCAACAAGTCAAGCTTTAAAAACAAATCACTGTGAAATTACAATTTGTCAAAACTCCAAGGAATCTTGGTAGAACCTACACTCTAGAACTTTTAAAGTTCAAATATGAACTTCTAAATATTAAAAAGGCTCAAGCTCCAAGTATAAATGCAACATTGAGGACATCTTTAGGCTTCAAAGAACTGCAATCAACTCAAAAACCCTATTTATTGAAACATTGTTCTAGATAAGATGGTTCTTTATTGAACCTAAGGTACTGAGAAGAACCATTAAATAACCTTCTGTATAGTCATTTTTAGAAAAATATTCAAATGAACTTCAACCAGGCCAATAGGGCTGCACGATAAATCGAAATGGAATCGAGATTGCGATTCGACAGAAGCTGCGATTGTCATGCGTATCTTTCAGTGAAGCACGGTTCTGTGATCAGCAGTAAATCTCCATCCAAAGGCCAGAGGGCGCTCTCGCGCTGAAACTCCAAATACACCTCGCAGAAGA